TTCAGAGTGAGGGGCTGGGGGCTCTGAGATCAGAGTGATGGGCTGGGGGCTCTGAGTTCAGAGTGAGGGGCTGGGGGCTCCAAATTCAGAGTGATGGGCTGGGGGCACAGAATGATGGGCTGGGGGCACAGAATTCAGAGTGATGGGCTGGGGGCTCTGAGTTCAGAGTGATGGGCTGGGGGCTCCGAGTTCAGAGTGAGGGGCTGGGGGCTCCGAGTTCAGAGTGAGGGGCTGGGGGCTCGAGTTCAGAGTGAGGGGCTGGGGACTCCGAGTTCAGAGTGAGGGGCTGGGGGCTCTGAGTTCACAGTGATGGGCTGGGGGCTCCGAGTTCAGAGTGATGGGCTGGGGTCACAGAATTCCCAGAATGATGGGTTGGGGTCACAGAATGTTGGGTTGGGGTCAGAAAATTCCCAAAATTATGGGTTGGGGTCAGAAAATTCACAGATTTCACAGAGTGATGTGTTGGGGTCAGAAAATTCCCAGAATGATGGGTTGGGGTCACAGAATTTACAGAATAATGGGTTTGGGTCTCAGAATTCCCAGAATTCTGGGTTGGGGTCTCAGAATTCCCAGAATTCTGGCTTGGGGGCACAGGATTCCCAGAATTCTGGGCTGGGGGCACAGAATTCCCAGACTTCTGGCTTGGGGGCACAGAATTCCCAGAATTCTGGCTTGGGGGCACAGGATTCCCAGAATTCTGGGCTGGGGGCACAGAATTCCCAGAATTCTGGGCTGGGGGCACAGAATTCTGGGTTGGGGTCTCAGAATTCCCAGAATTCTGGCTTGGGGGCACAGGATTCCCAGAATTCTGGGCTGGGGGCACAGAATTCTGGGTTGGGGTCTCAGAATTCCCAGAATTCTGGGTTGGGGGCACAGGATTCCCAGAATTCTGGGTTGGGGGCACAGAATTCCCGGAATTTAACACGCTGTTAAAGAACTTCCTCACATAACTTTCCCTCAGCAATCTCTTGATTTGCGTTCCTTCGTAGGGGCGGAGAAATTAATTTCCTTGTAATTGATCCAGTGTCTTTGGAGAGGTGACACATTCACCCTCCAATCCGCCGTCACCTTTGGAAAAGCTCAAAATAAGCTTTTTACAAGCGAAAATCAGAAAACAAACATCCCTTTTTTTTTTTTTTTTTCCACCTTACAAACAGCAACTCCCATTTTCCTCCCGCGTGGCTCCAGAGCCGAGGCGGAGGTTGTTTTTCCCGTGGCTGGAAGGAGTTTCGGGTGGTTTATGGAAGGGTGAGCGTCCCCCTCTGCACCCCAAAGCTGCAGCTGGCACGGGGGGCACGCCGGGCACTGCCCTGGTGCTGGAAAATCCCCCTGGGAAAAGCAGAGGGAAGGGGCAGAGTGAGCTGGGCTGAGATTTGAGGGTCTCAAATTCAGGCAAAAAAAAAATAAATAGAGGATTTCCAGGCAGGCAGAAGAGCTGGAGAAAAATGTCAATAATGATCTTTCAGGGTGGGACTGGCAGTGCTGGCAGCTCCTCCTGTGGGCCTGCCACCCTGCAGGAAGTGGAGCGTGCTCCAGCAGAATTGATTTGTGGTTGCTCGGTGCTGGGAACTCCTTTTGTCAGCTCTGCTCGGAGCTGGCCCTCTGCCTCAGTTTCCCCCCGTCTTCTGCCTCAGCTCGGGGGAAACCTTGGCCTGGGAGGGTGCTGAGGACCTGGCACAGGAAATTCCGTGGCTGTCACATCCCTGGGAGTGTCCTGGGATGGGTTGGATGAGGTTTGGAGCATCCTGGTGTGGTGGATCCATCACAAGGAATGAGAACGTTTGACCTTTCCAACCCAAACCATTCCAAAACTCAAATCTGCCATTCCTGAGGAGTGGAAAATCTTGGCCTGGGAGGGTGCTGAGGATAATTCCGTGGTTGTCCCATCCCTGGGAGTGTCCCAGGATGGGTTGGATGAACTTTGGAGCATCCTGGTGTGGTGGAACCTCTCCTTGCCATCACAAGGAATGAGAACGTTTGACCTTTCCAACCCAAACCATTCCAAAATTCCAAAATCTGCCATTCCTGAGGAGTGGAAAATCTTGGCCTGGGAGGGTGCTGAGGATAATTCCGTGGTTGTCCCATCCCTGGGAGCGTCCAGGATGGGTTGGATGAACTTTGGAGCATCCTGGTGTGGTGGATCCATCACAAGGAATGAGAACGTTTGACCTTTCCAAACCCAAACCATTCCAAAACTCCAAAATTTTCCCGCTGCTGGAATTATTCCCCAATTTTCCAGCTGGAATTATTCCACCATTTTCCAGTTGGAATTATGATTTTCCAGCGGGAATTTCATTATTTTCCAGCTGGAATTTCATGTTTTTCCAGCTGGAAATATTCCATGATTTTCCAGCTGGAATTATTCCATGATTTTCCAGCTGGAATTAGGATTTTCCACCTGGAATTTAATGATTTTCCAGCTGGAATTTCATGATTTCCAGCTGGAATTTCACGGTTTTCCAGCTGGAATTATTCCCCCATTTTCCAGCTGGAATTATTCCACCATTTCCCTGTTGGAATTTCATGATTTTCCAGCTGGAATTATTCCCCCATTTTCTAGCTGGAATTATTCCACCATTTTCCTGTTGGAATTTCATGATTTTCCAGCTGGAATTTCATGATTTTCCAGCTGGAATTTCATGATTTTCCAGCAGGAATTTAATGTTTTTCCAGCTGGAATTATTCCACCATTTTCTAGCTGGAATTATTCCACCATTTTCCTGTTGGAATTTCATGATTTTCCAGCTGGAATTTCATTATTTTCCAGCTGGAATTTCATTATTTTCCAGCTGGAATTTCATTATTTTCCAGCTGGAATTCCTTGATTTTCCAGCTGGAATTTAATGATTTTCCAGCTGGAATTTCATTATTTTCCAGCTGGAATTTCATGATTTTCCAGCTGGAATTCCTTGATTTTCCAGCTGGAATTTCATTATTTTCCAGCTGGAATTCTTCCACCACTTTCAGCCAGCAGGAACCTGGCAGGGCCCAACAAATACAGGAAATAAAAAACCCTTTTCACTCTTTTATTTCTTTTTTTTCCCCTCTCCATCCTGTCCTTCCACATTCCTGTGGCCGCCCGGCCTTGAGCTGAGCTCTGAATTGTTTATTTTTTTTCACTCCTGCTTTAACAACTGGGGAGAAAAAAAACCAAATTTATTTTTGCCAAATTCCATTAGCTCACAGCATAATTTCATTTTTTAAATCCCGATCCGTCCGTGTAGGAGGATGTGGCTGCAAACCAATAACCACAAAAGCTGGAAATAACCCAGGAATTTTGGGATTTGGACATTTCCTAGGGGTAACTTGCCCTTGGAGGGCAGGAAATGGAAACCTCTGCTCATCCTCACGCCCTTTCCTGGAGAATTTTCAGGAATGGAAAGCAGGAGAGGGCAAAGGGTGAAAGGTTGCTTTGTCTTCCTGCACCAGGAAACGGAGAAAGCAAATAAAAAATGTCATTTATTTTATGGTGCTTTGTGCTGGCCGAGCCCAGTGGCTGCTCAAACAGAGGCACGGAGGAGGGAAATTCAGCTTTAAAGTGGAAAATTCAGCTGTAAAGTGAAAAAATTCAGCTGTAAAGTGGAAAATTCACCTTTAAAGTAGAAAATTCAGCTTTAAAGTGGAAAATTCAGCTGTAAAGTGGAAAATTCACCTTTAAAGTGAAAAAATTCAGCTTTAAAGTGGAAAATTCACCTTTAAAGTGGAAAATTCAGCTGTAAAGTGGAAAATTCAGCTTTAAAGTGGAAAATTCAGCTGTAAAGTGGAAAATTCAGCTTTAAATGGAAAATTCAGCTGTAAAGTGGAAAAATTCAGCTTTAAAGTGGAAAATTCAGCTGTAAAGTGGAAAATTCAGCTCTAAAGTGGAAAATTCAGCTTTAAATGGAAAATTCAGCTTTAAAGTGGAAAATTCAGCTTTAAAGTGGAAAATTCAGCTTTAAAGTGAAAAAATTCAGCTTTAAAGTGGAAAATTCACCTTTAAAGTGGAAAATTCACCTCTAAAGTGGAAAATTCAGCTCTGAAGTGAAAAATTCACCTCTAAAGTGAAAAATTCACCTCTAAAGTGGAAAATTCACATCTAAAGTGGAAAATTCACCTTAAGGAGGGAAAAAAATCCTTCCCAGGGGGTTCCCAGCCTGGTTTTTTTGGGAAAAACATTTCTCAATTTTTTTCTCATTTTTTAGCTTTGAGGTCCTTCCTTCCTTGTTTTCCAGCCAGAAAAAGAGAAGCAGAAAGGAGGAAAAAAGAGAATAAAGAGCAGCAGAAAGGAGGAAAAGGAAACAGAAAGGGAGGAAAAAGCTTTGGAGAGAAAGGAGCAGGGAAATGTGGAAATTTGGGAAGATTTAGAAAGAGAGGAGTGGGAAAATCTGGGAAGCTTTGGAGAGAAAGGAGCAGGGAAATTTGAAAATCTGGGAGGGTTTAGAGACAGGAGCAGGGAAATGTGGAAATCTGGGAATCTTTGGAGAGAGGAACAGGGAAATGTGGAAATCTGGGAATCTTTGGAGAGAGGAACAGGGAAATCTTGGAAGCTTTGCAGAAGCAGGAACAGGGAAATCTTGGAAGCTTTGCAGAAGCAGGAACAGGGAAATGTGGAAATCTTGGAAGCTTTGGAGAGAAAGGAGCAGGGAAATGTGGAAATCTGGGAATCTTTGGAGACAGGAACAGGGAAATTTGAAAATCTGGGAGGGTTTGGAGACAGGAGCAGGGAAATGTGGAAATCTGGGAATCTTTGGAGAAGCAGGAGCAGGGAAATGTGGAAATCTGGGAATCTTTGGATAGAGGAACACAGAGATCTCGGAAGCTTTGGAGAAGCAGGAACAGGGAAATGTGGGAATGTGGGAATGTTTGGAGATCCTGCAGGCTCCGGGTGGGCTCTGGGAGGGCAGAGGATCCGGAGCAGGGAAATGTGGGAATGTGGGAATGTGGGAATCCCCTGGGCTCCGGGCGGGTTCTGGGAAGGATCCGGAGCAGGGAATGTGGGAATGTTTGGAGATCCTTTGGAGATCCCTTGGAGATCCCCTAGGCTCCGGGCGAGCTCTGGAAGGATCTGGGCAGGGAATGTGGGAATGTGGGAATGTGGGAATGTTTGGAGGATCCGGGCAGGGAATGTGGGAATGTTTGGAGATCCTTTGGAGATGCCCTGGGCTCCGGGCGGGC